AGACTGCAAAGGGGTCCAGGTTTAAATCCCTTTCTAGCATTCAAAGAGAAATCAAATTAACAACTGTCAAGGTGGTAGCCCTTGCCAAATGCTGTCATTCAGGCTTCCTCATGCATCCATTTGAAGATATTTTTTTCAGTATCATGTTGTGACTGAAGCTTCACAAGGTTGATAGGACAGATATGGAACTGAAGACAATAAAGCTTCTACCAGCATGGAGCTTAGCACTGAGCAGCAAAGACAGGGACAGGAGGAAGTATTTGTCCGGCAACAGAAGAGGACTAGTTGAGGTTCAGAACAGTGAAGAATGGAAGAAGAAATGCTTGTAAGTTTCTGTGCAGTTGGGCATCTCCAGCCTTAGACTGATGGAAACCATATGCCATTGGCCCTTTGTATCTACAAACTCCTCCCATGCAGAGATTCAACCAACAACAGATGGAAGATATTCACACATATGGAAATGTGTCTACTGAACTCACTTTCTCTTCCTGTCATTGTTCCTAAGCAGTTTGGTGTAGCAACAAGTATTTAAATGGCTGTGGCACTGCAGTAATCATTGGACCTGACCTAGCGATGACAAAGTTCGCAGGAGGGTTGTGTAGGTTAAAGGCAAGTTCTGTTATTTTGTTAAAGAGGAAATATCTAGGGACTTTGTCCCCAAGAGTCTTCTCCCATCCCCTACAAGTTCCAAGGAACCACACTGTGCACTAGTTTATTCCTTTGGTTTGTTTAGAATATACTTCTTAATTTTAATTTTTGGTAGAAATATAATTTTTATACATGTGTATTTTAGAATATCACCAAGTTCTTGTGAAGATGAACATAGGAATTATTTGATCTTGTTGAACCTACAGATAACTCAGAAAATGGCAGTTCCAGCAGGTTCTCAAGTGGCTCACTCACTTTTCTGTTACAGGATGAGCCAAGAGAAAACTGCTCAGAGGAGGAGGGGTCTCTGTGACATAACTGACGAGCATGTATTTCACATGTAGACTTCACTGATGAGGACTCCAAGTTCTACCCAATGGCATGGCACTGCCTTCCAGGCTCAGTGTACCTCCCAACTGCTGTCCATAGCCACACTATGACATCATCTTTCAGCTGCAATCAGATGCTGTTCCAAATAGGCCAATGGGTTTAATTGACCTCAGAAGAGTTGACGCACCAAGAGAGGAGGCTGGCCAGGTTAGCCTGGAAGCTGTGTCCACCCAGCACAACAGTTAGCAGAAGATTAGCAGTCCTGCTGCTAACCGACTCCCCATGATCTCACCAAAGTGCTACCCACAGCTGCCACAAGTCAGACTTAACTCTAACTAACTAGAAAGGCACACCTGAGTGCTTTTGTTATTTCCTATGGGGTGAAAAGATCATTTTAAAGGACTTCTTGTGATAAATATTCTTTAATAAGCTTTTTTCAATAGGGTACAGCTATGAAAATTAGATTCAATAAAATCTGGCATCACACTACTTAATGAAGATAACAGATCCAAACATCCATTTTGGGGTCAAGCACAATGACATTCATACATTGTTGCAGCATCAGAGGAAGAAAGATTATGAGAATCCTCTGAAACCAACAGCTGAGAGCTGAGGTGGGCAACATGAGTGGGACAATGAACGGAAGAGATATCTACTTTTCAACATTGTGAAATCCAGCTCTTAGGAAAACCAACAACAATGAGTTCTGCCCCAAAGCATCTGACACTGCTCACTGAGATACACTGACGACAAGTCCATGTAAATCTGGGTGAATCAAGACTATTCAAGAGAAAAATTCTGTAATGTAGCTCCGTGAAGAGTGATACCTGAAGTATTCCGAATTACATAGTGATTACCCTTGCCCCCCTTTTTTCTGTTATAGTAGGTCTCCACTCATTTTTTTTAAATACTTGTCATCACTATTAAGTCTTAAAACTGTGACCCACATCGATCCAACATGCAACAAAATATCAGTCAACAAGACTATACATGCAAAGCCCCATGGGGCAGGGGGAGGGGGTCACAAAGAACAATCAAGTGAAATTGCTGATTGGAAAGGACTTACACTCTTGACAGGGAGATAAGGAGAATGTCCGGGCAGAACGAGCATCTGTGAACCTTCCCTAAAAAAAAGTCCACCGAGTGCTAGAGAAAACAAGGAGTGCACCCATCAGTCCATCAGTGATCTATCTTCTCTTTCATTAATGGAAAACTAAAGCCAAAGATGGCTAAGTATTGTATTTATGATGAAGACAGATAATCAGGAGGCCTGTGAGACAAAGGGTTATAGACTGTGGCCGAGCCTTGGAGAGGTAATGACTTTTAATTGGATTGAGTTTATCATACTTGCAGGGGTACAGCAGACACAGAAGGAAGGATTAGTGTGATTTCCACTTTCTATTATTTGGCATAATGAGAAAACAGAGGGTGGTCCTCATCTCTGGTACACATTATGAGCCATAGGAGATGCTTAATATGTCAGGTTTGGGTAGCACTGAGCTCTCTTATATAAACACATTTATTTGGACATAGCTAAGTCAAAATAAGTCACCTGGAACAAAGGTCAGAGGTCATTAATTTGCATAGTACACAGGATTTATAAATTTTTAAATTAATCCTAGCGGATCTCTACACCATTTCAAACAGTAGGGCACATCTGCATTTTTCTTCAAAGTTTAAATAGCTTAAAGGGTCAAATGAAAAGCCTTGACTGAGGAAAACCGGCTGAACAGAGTTCCTCTAGGTGGAAAATGAGTACATTATAACCCCCTCTGAGAAACAACCTTAGATACGTAAAAATACAGACATATAAGACAACCTGGAAAATGTGCTACACTGACAAAATCCTGTGCAAGTGTTCATGAGTCTCTCTCTCTCTCTCTCTCTCTCTCTCTCTCTCTCTCTCTCTCTCTCTCTCACACACACACACACACACACACACACACACACACAATCAGCATACCCCAAATTCAAGAGAGTTGAAAGAGGGAAGACTACTAGAGCATAGAGCATATATCTACTGAACCTCCAACAGACCCTTCTCCCTGAGGGCAGATTATGGGTGCTTGACTCACTGAAGAGTCCCAGGATCTAGCCAAGCTTTTAGCCAAAGCAAATAATTCTCATGATTTTACTAACTCAGAAATATTAGCTAAAACAAGACAGTTCTCTTGAATGCACTAAGTGGTACCGTTTTCTTTCTCTGAATTGGAAAGTTCTAACATAAAAGTCCACAAAGTATCAAGCAAATTTGTCACCAATCTGTTTAACATTATGTAAAAATGCTCCCCTCTTCCAATAACACAAGTGAGCGTTTACCCCCAATCTATATATTTTTATTTTAAGACTCCCTGTCTGTCTGCCTCTGTCCTTGTCTCTGTCTGTCTCTGTCTCTGTCTCTGTCTCTCTCTCTCTCTCTCTCTCTCATATTTGAGATACTGACATGGACTTAACTGAGTGCAATCAGTTCAGAATTTGCACTGTGCTCTTCTCATTGTGCAACCTTTTCAACTACCTTTGTTATAAAACCAATAAAAACAAACAAACAAGTCTCCACATGGATGGCCCACAATTCTATCATTTCTTCCAGCATTTGTATTAGTCCTTTAGCCAATCTTAAATGCAGCCAGTAAATTTTGCTCTAGCAATATTTATTGCAGCATCCGATGTGAAGCAACCATGCCCTGTAGGGTGGAGAGCATAACTTCACAAGGGAAGGGACTTTGCCTTCTTCACTGATGCCTTTGCAGTGCCAAGAATGATATCTGAAACAGAATACATGCTCAATAAATATTTGTTGAATAAAAGAATAAATCCAGGAAGGGCACAGAAATGAGCTGTAAAGGAATATAGACATTGGATAATTTATCATCAAAGCAGGCGGTGCATTCAAAGTTCACATGGAATGTAGTTTTAAAAACACAACCTGGGGACTAGAGATGTAGCTCCATTGGTTGAGTATATGCCTAGCATGCGTGAGGCCCTGAGTTCCATTCATAACACTGCACAGACCTAGCATCCATATCGAAGCACTCAAGAGGGTAGAAGCTCAGAGAGCAGAAGGTCAGGGTTTGAAGTCAGCCTGGGACATGTGAGACCCAGTCATATATGTGCCCCTCCTCTCCCTCTCTCCCTCCCTCTCCCTCTCCCCCTCTCCCTCCCCCTCCCC